TCCCTGAAGTCCCCCATACTGGGTGGGAATGGCTTTCCTGCATTGCACACAGATAGGGATCTGCCATGGGTGCCAACTGGCCTTTCCAGCAATTTTGCTAGGACACAGGACCAATAGCCCTTTGTGGCACGTCCCCTCTAGCCACGGAGTTGGGACATGCTCCTGGCACCGGCACCAACTGCCTCCCTGTGCCACGCCATCACAGCCAGCACCAGAGAGCAGGACCCACACACAAATTCCCTGTAGTGCCCTCCCCAGCAAAGCAAGGCCCTGGGGAGGAGAAGGAAGGGGTTTAGGTGGCCTTATAACCCAAGAGCCTGTGCAGGTTCAGAAAAACCCTGCCTCAAGGCAGCAGTGGATCAGCAGAAGGGACAAGAGCCTTCCAGGGGAGAGAAAAGCTGCTACTCACCCCCCTCCATCCCTCACCACAGCACAGGAAGAGCAAAATAAAGCATCACGCACCGGTCATCCTGGGAGGGGTGGATGTACCCAGAGGACAGGATGTTCAGGGACAAGATGTTGGGGTCGATGAGTGACTCATCTGCTTCTGGAGTGTTCCGGATTCGACCTGCAAGCACAGCACAGAGGTGCCTCTGAGGTGACAGGCAGTGGCCCTGTGAGGGTGCCCATGAAGGCTGGGGCACACTGCCTGCCTGCAGCCCCCTGGCAGGCAGCAGTACTGGCCATTCAGCCACTGCTGGCCATTCAGCTCCAGAGATTCTGGTCCAGCTCCTGGACATGGTGGCAGGGGCTGAGGCATCCTGCCCAGGCAGTGTCCCAGTGTCACCTGCCAGACAGCCACTGCTTCACTAGTGCAGGGTAGGAGGGGAGACAAGGCATAAAGCCCCATGTGGGAACATGGGAATGTGAGCAAGAAACAGCCCAGGAAGATACCTGGGAGCTCAGTGGGCTGGGGACTGGCTTGGCTTACCCACAACCAGCTCCCGTACTTCCTTCCAGTGGATGAGGCTTCCCGTTTCATGGACCAAGGTGACAGTGATTCTCCTCTGGATGCCCTGAGACCCACGAGGCCAGAGAGAAGGGACAGTTAACACAGGATCCAACAGGAGTCAGAGCTGGGACAGCATCTGGGGCAGAGAGTACCTGATGAAGGAGGAAAGTCCCATGGCATGGCATGCCTCCACGGTGGTCCACAACGGCAGGGATGTAGCTGGAAGAGAGGATTGCAGCGTGACACAGAATCCTGCCAGCCTGCCCAGAGGTGCTGGGCCCTGGGCAAATCCCCTGCTGCCTTCTGCCCCTCTCCCTCTCCCTTTCCCAGCAGGACTCACTCGCCATTGGCCTCCAGCTCACAGATCTCGAAGAAGACCATCAGGTCATACTTGCACTGGCAGGGGCCAGCACTGGGCCGAGTCATGGTGCTCAGCTTTGTCGCAGGCACTGCAGGGTGACACAACAGGCAGGTGAGAGGCTGAGCCTGCTGCTGGCACTTGGGATGAGGCACAGGATGGCAGGGAAAGGGCAGGGCAGGGAGGGACCTCAGGGCACACACAGAGCAGCAACAAGAGCCTCATCCCAGGGACCTGGCTGAGCACTGGCACGCTTTCTCCCTCGCCCAACACGGGGTGTCAGCAAGAGGCTGGCTTGACCCAGTGCCAGGATGCCCACGGTGTGCCTGCAGTCATGGACACACCCCAAAACACACAGTGCTGCTCCAGGCACTGCTCAGGGGCAGCCAGAGGGAGGATCCCCCTGTTGCCATCTGGGCCACCCAGGGCAAGGAACCTCCTCCCTGCTGCTCTGCAGGTTGAGATGGGGCTCTACACCTTGTTGAGTGTTGTGAAATTGGGTGTCTAGGAATTTTGAGTGCTCTGGCCCATAGTACATTTTGTGGTGCCCCTGGGGTCCTAACTGATCATCTGGGGTTGGGGACACCCACCCAGCACTGGGACTACAGTGGACACAGAAGTGGGAGGCAGGCTCCCTACCTGGTTTGGAGAGTGGCATCACACGGGGGAAATGGCGTCGGGATGGCCTCAGCGGGCTGCAGACAGAACCAGCTTGGTTACAGCACCCCCAGGGACCCCAAAACCAGCCAGCCCCACCACCTGCTCCCTTTCTCTGGGTCCCCAGGCAGCCCACTGCAGCGGGGTGGCCCAGATGTGCCCACCTCAGGACATCCTTGCAGAGAGGTGGGAAGGGGTGCTGCTGGTAATGGCCAAACACCTCAAACACAATCGGCTGGCTCTTGATGTATTCGATGAAGGATTTCGTCACCTCCACAGCGATCTGGAAGAGAAGGAGCTGCTGAGCCACTGATGGTGCAGCTTAGCTGGGAAAGGGGACAGAACCAGCAACAGCACCCGGGATGCGGGAGGGTGTGAGACTTCCAGTCCCCTCATCCACTCCTCCCCTTGTTCAGGGATGCTCTCCCCTCCAAGACCACTGCTGTGAAATCCCAGCCTTTTCAGGTGGGTGACAGTGGCTTTTGGGCTCTCTCCTGCATATCCACCATGTCTAAGGTTGGCTTAGCTGGGTGACTGTGAGGGGCTGGGGAAGCCAGGAGGAAGCTGCTTCCCCGGGAGAGGATCCAGCCAATGGCCCTGCAGAGATCCCAGCAGCTGCAGAGGTGAAGGGGTGGTGGAAGAGGGGTACGTACATTTTGGACATGATAGAAGCCCAGTGGTGGCCCTCGTCCTGTGTTCTTCAAGGGCTCTGTTGAAAAGGCCTCATCGTGGCGATGGATGAAGCTGTGGAGGGAAGGAAGGTGGTTCAGGGGCTGTGGGATGGGGATGTGCTGGAGCAGGGAGGGGAGTGAAAGCAAGGGACCAGAACAGGAGCTGATTTCCCCAGGGGCAGCTGCCCACATYCTTGGCTGGCACAGGACTCCCCAAAGCTGATGGGAGTCTGTCTCCCTGCCTTTTGCCAGTGAGCAAACAAGTGCTTGGGCACATTCCACAGCCCTTGGGTTTGCCTCCCCATCCACAAAGCGCTCAGAGGTGGAGAGGTAGAGCTTTCCAACGCTCACCATGAGCCCCCAGGTGACAGCTGGAGCACGGTGGAAGATGCAGGGCTGGGGGGCACTGGGGACTCACTTGAACTGGCAGAAGATGTCCGCGTATTCTGCGGAGATGCTGGAGGCTTGCAGGACTGTCACGCGGAAAGTGAAGATGCTGCCCAGCCTCAGGTGGTCCAAAGCCACCTCCAGCGGCCCTTCTKGTGCAGGCTTCTCCGGGCTGTCCAGAAGAAGGTCCTCTGGGGTCACTGCAGAGAGGGGGAGCTCTTAGCAAGGCAGGTGCCATGCCCTTGGTGTCAGGAAGATTTAGGAAGGATGTTGAGATGCTGGAGCTTGTCCAGAGAAGGGCAACAAGGCTGGGGACAGATCTGAAACACAAGTCCTACAGGGAGCAGCTGYGGGAGCTGGGATTGTTTATCCTGGAGGAGGCTGAGGGGAGACCTCRTCACTCTGCAACTCCCTGACAGGAGGGGCAGCCAGGTGAGGGTTGTTATCTTCYCCCAGGGAACCAGCAATAGGACAAGAGTGCATAGTCTTAAAAACTGCACCAGTGGAGTTTTAGTTTGGACATTAGGAAGAATTTCTTCACAGAAAGGGGGACTGAGCATTGGAATGGGCTGCCCAGGGTGGTGGTGGAATCACYGTCCCTGGAGGTGTTTAAGACAAGCCTGGATGTGGCACTCAGTGCCATGGTTTAGCTGACARGGTGCTGTCAGGTCATGGGTTGAGCCTCATCATCTCAAAGACTYTTTCCAAMCTATGTGACTCTGTGATTCTGTGACTCTGTCTGCCACAGCCCCYCACTGGAGCCGTGGGCTGTTGATGCCGGGCAGGGTGCAAGGCTGGGTGCAGGGGCCACTCCCAAGCTGTTTGTCACCCTCCTCACCTGCGCAGGTGTTGTTGTTGACCTCATCGGCRGAGGGCCCCACGTCGCTGACCTGCCCCTGACCTTCGACGATGCGCAGCTCCTCCTGAGAGGTCCCCGAGCGAGACATCCCCACAGCCGGGCACGACTCCGACTGGAACTGCGCCAGGAGTGGGCTCAGGGATGCTGGTGGTCCCCGAGGTGGTCCTGCTTGCACCACCACCAGCAACCCGAGCAGCCAGGCTCCTCCAGCTCTCCTGTCCCACCCCATGGCAGCCCCCCTGGGACACGGGYGAGAGCAGGATGCACCGATGGGTGCCCGAGGCCTTGGTGTGCCTGGTGTGCCAAGGGACCCTTCCCTCTGATGCCTCCCCCTCTATAGGAGCCTGGGGGGGCCTGTTGGGAAGCACTGAGGTGGCAGGGAGGGGTCTGGGGTCCCTGGACATCCACCAAGAGCCCGCTCCACCTTACCTTCTCAAAGTGCTGGTCGTCAAAGGAGATCTTGGCGGTTCCTGACTGCCGCACACCAGAGCCATAGTCAGGGGCTTCTTCATCCGCTGGAGGAGGGATGGGGGTGAGCCAGCACAGAGCGTGCAGGGGATACAAGGAGCACATTTTGGGGGGGGTTCCCTCCTACCTGAGATGGCCTGGACAGCCACACGCAGGAAGCCCTTCACCTCGCCCTTCTCGCTGACRATGGCCACGCGGTGCACCAGGGGCACGGGGTACAGGAGGTTGCTCAGGTAGACAAAGGCCCTGCCAGAGAAGGGGGGGACACACAACAGGGGGGAGAGCGGTCACTGCTCCCACCCGTGAGTCCCCAGGCACGGCTGGCGTGGCCGGCAGCGGCCGGGATCCCAGGTCACTGCTCAGGGCGCGACCGCAGCGCTGCAAAGCAAAACTAAAAGAGAAGGCAGCCAGGGCAAGGCGAGGGGGCTGGGGGCAGCGGGCAGGCAGCGTGCCGCGGGCAGGAGGGTGGGCAGGAGGGTGGCACACGCCACGGACAACACCACAGAACACACCAGACTCGCAGACCTCTCCGACTGTCGCCTCCGTGGCAGGCAGGAGGGGAGAGGACTGCGCTGGTGCCACCGGGAAGCCGTGYGGCAAGAGGACCTTCTCTGTGGTAGAGAGCTGGAGAACTTGGTCAGGAGGTGCTGCGACACAACTGGGGGGAGCTGCAGAGTCACCACGGAGAGGACGGGGGCAAGACAGGGGGAAGGAAGGGTGACAAGGGAGATGGAGGCTGTCAGGAGTGAAGGAGGTGAGAAGACAGGGTCCTGGACCTCCAGAGGTGAACCTGCTGGGTGTTCATGGCCCGGCTCTGTTGCACACCAGGGTGCACGGTGTGGCTGGAGGCATCAGGGTGTGCACCCCCCTCCCCATTCCTTCACATGAACGGCTTCGGGGTCCCAAGCCACCTGCCAGCACGTCACAGGGCTGGACAGTGTGCCTGGCAAGTCTGAGCCTCCCTGCTCTCCTCTGCAGCATCCAGGTGACCGATGCCAGCATGGCGAGGTGTCACGGCGGAGTCTGGCACGATGGCTGCACCATGTCTCTGCCAGCACCTCCTGTCAGGCCACAGCTCTCTGTTCCGCAGGTGTTTTGGGTCTTCTTGCTGCCTCCCTCCTCCTCACCATCAGCTTCCAGTGGTCATCCAGCTCTGGCCGTGGTGGCACGCTGTACCCTYGCAGTGACAGGTCACCCTTGGCACTGAGCTCCCTGCCAGGAGGGGCGACCAAGCAGCATCACTCCCAACAAGAGTGGGTGTGGGGTGCCTGGCACCTCTCCCTGTGACACCTGCCAGTGTCTTGACATGCGGTGTCATTGGGTGTCATGATGTGGGATGGTGCTGGGGGTTGGCCTGGACACCTCTGCTTCAGAAGGCTCCTGTGAGGGTTCCATCTCCAGGTGGCTGCTGTGCTGCTCAGRGCATCCCAACATCACAGGAATCTTCATATTCAACAGCACCCCAAGTGCCCAGGGGGCTCTTGCAGCCCTGCACRAGCACCCCGACCCCCAAGTCCGGAGATTCCCCCTGCACTGGTGACTCCCATTGACCTTCAACTGCTCCTCGAGGCTTCTTCTACCCAAAGCATCTCACAGGACTCAAATTGTGGAAGCAGGTGATGCCAAATGAGTATCTCCTGATGGGCTCGCCTCAACCCATCTCTTCTCAGATGCCACTGGCAACAAGTGGCCGGACCATGCCAGGGCTTCCTGGCAGGATCTCATGCCCAGGGCAGCGCCCTGTGACCACAGGGACCTCTTGGAATTGCAGGGCTTTGTGTGCCCCCATCCACCCGAAATCACAGGGCAGCTGGTGTGGAAGCAGAGGACTGGAGAGGGCAGGGAGGAGTGGRAGGGAAGTGGGGCAGGCAGGGAGGAGGGGGACAAGTGTGTCACTAGAGGAAGGAGGGCAGGGGCACTAACCACAAGATTGGTGAGGTGCAAAGATGGCATGCTCAGATCAAAGAAAAGCTTTTCCAAAGGAAGACAAAAGTGAAATAACCCCAGTTTTTGCTAAAGCTTTGAAGAGATAGAGCCAGCAGCTAAAAAAAAAGAATTGAAAAACCCCTAAAATAACCAAAATTTGAAAAAAAGGAAAAAAATAAAGAGAGAAAGGGGAAGAGATAAAGAGAAAAGGAGACAGAAAGATAGAGAGAGAAAAGAAAGAAAGAAAGAAAGAAAGAAAGAAAGAAAGAAAGAAAGAAAGAAAGAAAGAAAGAAAGAAAGAAAGAAAGAAAGAAAGAAAGAAAGAAA